GAAAGTGCTTTGCTGCTGGTCCCCTATTTTGTGTGTGTGTGTGTGTGTGTGTGTGTGTGTGGCACTTCTTGGTCACTATAGTGTGTCTGAAAATTCCATAAGTCATTACCCCACCCACTAGAGAAAAATGCAAAAGATTTTCACTCCCAACACCTACACTTCAGCACCAGGGATCTCCTCATCCCAGCCACAGGTCTCAGTATCTCTTATCCACTTCCTGATACATTCCAGCCTGTCCCAGGCTGTCCAGGCAGGCTCACCACACTCTTTCCATCTATCTATCTATCTATCTATCTATCTATCTATCTATCTATCTATCTATCTATCTATCTGTCTATCTATCCATCCATCCTTTTACCTTTTCATCCTTCTGTCCATATAGCCATAAATTTATAAAAATATCCATTCATTATTTCTTCTATATAAATATCTTTCACTCTATTATCTACATATGGACCAATTAACTTTCCATTTATCCATCTATCCAATATTCCATCCATCCATTCATTAACTCGCTCATCATTCAACAACTTACTAATATTTACATCCAGCTTTCCAATCATTATTTATCTATTTCAATCCATCCATCGATTAACCCTTCACCCATCTATGAAGTCTTTCATCCATCCACCCGTTAGTCATTCTAGCATAAACCCTTCCTTACATTCATCTCTCAGTTGAGATAATTTCATTAAATTTCCATTAAAGTTCTAGCGCATTGGGCCAGGCGCGGTGGCTCAAGCCTGTAATCCCAGCACTTTGGGAGGCCGAGACGGGCGGATCACGAGGTCAGGAGATCGAGACCATCCTGGCTGACACGGTGAAACCCCGTCTCTACTAAAAAATACAAAAAAACTAGCCGGGCGAGGTGGCGGGCGCCTGTAGTCCCAGCTACTCGGGAGGCTGAGGCAGGAGAATGGCATGAACCCGGGAGGCAGAGCTTGCAGTGAGCTGAGATCCAGCCACTGCACTCCAGCCTGGGCGGCAGAGCGAGACTCCGTCTCAAAAAAAAAAAAAAAAAAAGTTCTAGCGCATTGGAATAAGACTCTCAAACCACACATTTGGTAATCTCTAAATGTTTCTTACTACACAGTAACCCCTTTTGTGTAGACATATCAATGTACAAGTGTGAGCTTCTGTGTACGTAAGTATCCAGAGAATCCAAGTGGCATATGGAAAATAGAATTAATATCCCCATTCCAGGGCACTCTTTATGGCATTCTAGCCATACTTCCTCCCACTTTCCTATGCATTCACCCACTTATTTATTTATTCATGCACTTTCAGGTCTCCTTCCTGTAAGAAATGCTCTTTGACCTCCCCGTATCATTCCTAGACTGATTCACTGATTCCCTTTTCCTCCAACTCAGCCTGGACCTTTTTTTTTTTTTTTTTTTTTAGGATCCTGCAGGGAGGGAACCTTACTCTCTTGATTGAGCCTTGGAGGTTGGGAGTGGCTTCCTTAACAGCACAATCCAGAGCTTTCATAATCCCTCCTATCACTGTCTAGCACAGAGCTGAACACAAGCAGAAGCCTGAGACTGAGATCCTGGCAGATGTAGCTCTGGCCAGAGGAGAACAATGGAGGATTCTCTGATGCTTCTCCAGGAGACCAGCTACCTACTGGAGGGGTTCTAGAAGACCAAGGGCATGGGGGCCACAGGGGGAGGGCTGCTAGGTGACTGGATGGTTATGGAGAACTCAGTCATGAGAAGACGGGCCTTACTGGGAGAAAGCTTTGGAATGGAAGAGGAGGGAAAATATTAAGAATTCTCTGAGATTTCTGGCCAGGTTCCATATTAAACTCAACATAAGCTGGGTGCAGTGGCACACACGTGTAGTCCTAGCTACTCAGGAGGATGAGGCAGGAGGATCATTTGAGCCTGGGAGGTCAAGGCTTCAGTGAGCTATGAATATGCTATTGTACTCCAGCCTGGAAGATACAGTGAGACCGTATCTCAAACAAACAAACAAAACAAAACAAAACAAAAACCACCACCAACAAAAAAAACCAGTTAATGTGGAAGAGACTTAGAGTCCACTTGTCTAGAAACCCTAATCCTTGTCATCACTCTGAAATGTGAAAGAAACATTTCATACTCTAACTACAACCACTAGGTCCCCGACTCCTTCACTGCCTCACTGCCAATGGCCTGAGGGGTACACTGGCCAACTAGGTCTTTGGGTAAGCGTCCAAAGAATGCAAAAACTATAAAAGGCCAAGTCTCCCGCCTAGTAAAAGACTTTTTAAAATAACATTTTGAAATCTTTTGTTACATACAGGGAAGTTTTTAAAGAACCATAAGAGATTAAAGGTAGTTCTTCTAATATCTCATAAAGAAAAAGAGGTGGGGCCTGGCTGTCCAAAGAGGTGATTAAAAGCATTACATTTACAGTCGCAAGATTATTCCCAGGCTCTGCCCTCATTAGCTGTGGAAGTCATAAACAAGACATTTACAACTTTTGGGGCCTTACCTAACTCATTTGCAAAATGAAGATGATAAAATCCACCTCACAGACTTACAATTCTGCTCTTAAAAACTTCACACTTTTTTTTTTTGTAAGAGAAATAGAGCTGGGCTAGGGCTATATTTGAATCCAAACACAGACAGGTACAGGCAAATATCAGATGTTCATATGTACACAGCATGGCCTACGTGCACAATGAATGACCAGAATACGTGCACAAAAACATCCATACACTTGTATGTAGTCAACTAGTTGTGCACACGTACACACATATGTGCATATGCACGTTTGTTGAGTATCCACATCTAGCTGGACCCAGAAATGCACGTCATAGACATCCCCCAAGTGGCATATCCCAAAGCACACGTGCACTCAGGCTACACGCACAGACAGACGCAGAGACTGGCAAGCATTCAGGAACAGTGGCATGAACACACATGCACCTCATCAGGTACTCACACAAACGTGCATGTGCAGACATAAGTTGGAATGGATGCCCACTTATCAAGCACAAACACACACCCCACAAAGCCTGGTGCATGCATAAATGCATCTATCAACAGGGACATGCTGAAACATACATGCACACAGAAACCTCAAGCATGCATCCAGAGTGACACATACACAGACAGATGTATAAATAAGGATAAACATGGCAGAAGCATTTAGCAGAAACCACTGGATAAAATGACACAAACATGCAAAGATGCAGGTGCACACAGGGCAGTTGAGGGTATAGTGGGTGTTCTCCCCAGCTACAAGGCTGACTTGCAGAGAAGAAGAAAGAGAAAGACAGAAAGACAAGATCATAGACAAGGGGAGAGAGACAGGTGGGCAAAGTCCTGTGCAGGGCTCCAGGCCCATCTAGAATAATGCGAGAGTCTAATGCTTGCCTGTCCTCTTGCAGGAACTTAAAGTGGTGAATATGGTAAGTTTTGTGTTATGTGGGGTTTTTTAACCACGATAGAAATATATAAATATAATGACATTTGAGCCCATCTCCAAGAAAAGGCACAATGTCACATACGACCAAAATCTGCATATGATATCAGGAGCTCATGGACTCCCTGAGATCCACTGATTAAAGTTTTCTTGATCACTGGATATATTCTGAGTGGGTGGATGGCTTCTCTGCCCTGCTCATATTTATACATTTCTTCCTCCAGGGGCCTCAAATCTGTATTGTCAGGGTTAGGTGCATCACCCATGTTCCTGGTTGATGTATAGGGCTTAAGTTAGATTTGAATTAATTTCTTCACTGAGCAACAGGGGTGCTATGGGTGATTTTCCTGTAACCCTGAGCATCAGGGTCTTTGTTGCAAAAGAGGCATAGGCAGCAGCAACAGAGGTCCTGCTGAGCCATCTGCTCTTAGAAGAGTGAATTTCAGCATGCCACAGAATGGCTGCTTTTTTCCCTCTTCTCTTTTTTTTTTTGATGGAGTCTTGCTCTTTTTTCTTTTTCTTTTTTTTTTCTTTTAAGATGGAGTCTTGCTCTTGTCGCCCAGGCTGGAATGCAATGGCATGATTTTGGCTCACTGCAACCTCTACTTCCTGGGTTTAAGTGATTCTCCTGCCTCAGCCTCCCAAGTAGGTGGGATTACAGGTGCCTGCCACCATACCCAGCTATTTTTATTTTTTTATTTTTCATAGAGACGGGGTTTCACCGCTTTGGCCAGGCTGATCTCAAACTCTTGACCTCAGGTGATCCAGCTGCCTCAGCCTCCCAAAGTGCTGGGATTACAGGCGTGAGGCACCACGCCTGGCCATCTCTCTCTTACTCTCCAAAGATTGGTCTTTCTTGAATGACTACCCAATGGACTCATATATTGCACCAAATATAGTCTTCCCCCTGAGTGCTCTACAGATGGGGGCCCAACGCCGGGTTGGGTGCCACAGCCAGTTGGTGGCAGGGAAGAGTCTCTTTCCTGAGTCTAGCATCAGTCACAGGTGCATTCTAAGACACACAGACAGGTCCAGGCTTCGACACATGATCCATGGCCACATTAAAGAGGGTCCTAATCCCATCGTCCTGTCCTTTAATGCCAATTAATTAACAAAACTTCTGACCGAGGTTTACTAAATCTGTAACGTAAGCTCCGTAGTGTAGGGTCCAGCCCTAGGTGGCTTAGCGGGTGTTCTCCCCATGTGCGGAGAAGAGAGATTGTAAGAAATAATGATACAAGACAAAGAGATAAAGAGAAAACAGCTGGGCCCAGGGGATCACTACCACCCTCCGCCCTAGGCTCCTGCTCCTGCCCTCCGTCTTTCCCCGCTCTCTCCAACCACCCAGCTCCTGACTCTAATTCATCCCCATCTCCACCTCACACCCGCTCTGGAACTCAGAATGCCCAACAACCAGCCCCCATACTTCCCCTCCGAGAGGTGGCCAAAGCTGAAGGCATCATTCACATCCACGTTCCCTTCTCCCTCTCCGACCTCTCCCAAATTAGAAAACATCTCGGGCCCTTTTCCTCCGATTCCAACACTTATATCAAATAATTTAAATACCTTACACAATCTTATAAACTCACTTGGCATGATCTCTACATTATCCTCTCTTCTACCCTTCTTCCTGAGCCGCACCGTCTCCAATGTCATCAGCTCCATTGTTTTTGGGGACCGCTTTGACTATGAGGACAAAGAGTTCCTGTCACTGCTGCGCATGATGCTGGGAAGCTTCCAGTTCACGGCAACCTCCACGGGGCAGGTAACGGGCTGCAGCCCGGCCCGTGACGCCCCTACCACAACCTGTCAACTGCTCCCCTACCTGGAGACAGGTGCCCCAAACTCCCACCCCCCTCCAGACAGTGTCCCCTCAAAATCAGCCCCCAATATTGGACAACTGGGCAGTTGCAACAGAACCCAGGATGGGTGCCCAATACCCAGTCTCCAAGGACACCTGAAAAGCTCAACAGATGCTCCCCAGAACAGAGCCTGCCGGCAGGATGCAAGCCCTCAGCTCAGCTCTCTCACCTGGGCACGTGTTCCCATCCCCAACTTAACCATAATTTGTAACAGATGCTCCCTACCCTGTTCTTCTGAATATTTTAACACCTGGACAAGTGATTGCCTCTACCCCCCTCCTGCATACCTGAACACCTGGTGCTGCAAAATCCAGCCCATCATGATCATTTCACATCTACATAAATGTCCCAAATTAGCCCACTGGAATATCTGGCCAAGTGCCCTCTACTTCACCCACTTAAATACCTGAAAACATCAACAGCTGCCCTAACCAACACCCTAAATACATAAATATCTAGACAGATTATTCCCCAGACACCCAAATAAGTGTTCCCCAACCCTTTCCAATCACACGCCTTACAGAGGTGCCCCCGATGCATCCCACTTGGATAGGTGAACACCTGAACAGGTATCCCCTCCACTTCAACATCTTCACCAGCCCAGCTTTAATATCTGAACACCTGAACAAAAGCCCCCAATCCAGACCCAATAAGTATAATAAGTGTGGCTCGCAGCACAGGTACATGCCGACGATCTTTATCGGCAAGACCCTATTAAGCCTGTAGGGGCTGCTGCAGTTCCCTGGGAGTAACCCCTCTGGGAGTACCAACCCACAGACCCCGACCGGGCGTCTCGTAACCACATGATTACTTTGAAAGAAATCAGGCACATTCCTCAGCCCCGGGCTCAAAACAAACAGGCCCAGTACAAACACATCCCACCATACATCTCTTAACTTCCTGAGCCCAGTACAAACACATCCCACCATACATCTCTTAACTTCCTGAGCCCAGTACAAACACATCCCACCATATATCTCTTAACTTCCTGAGCCCAGTACAAACACACCTCTCAACTCAGAGACTACCATATATCTCAACTTTAGAAAAACACCACCTGGAAAGTCTCCGATAAGGACACAGCCGGAACAAATTGCTAAATGTATAACTTAAAATGTAAACCAATTGTAATGCTGTAACCAAAAGAATTCCCTTGTTCCTCTGTAACTTTATGTATCCTATTTACATCGGGCTATAAAAAGCAAGCACTCGCATTGTTCGAGGCCCTCTTGTATGCTGTGGAATGGAGGGACCAAGTTCGAACTTGTAGTAAAGATCCTTGCCGCTTGGCTTTGACTCTGGACTCTGGTGGTCTTCTTTGGGGAACAAACGGTCTGGGTATAACAACTTCCCTCATCGTAGGCCTTAACAAAGCAGCCCATAAGGCCGTAAATTTTGAAAAGCGCAAAGAAATCTCTGAAAGAGCCGACGAAAACCCTGCCAAATTTCTTTCCCGCCTTACAGAGGCCCTCCAAAAATACGCCCGTGTTGACCCCACCTCCCAGGAACTATTGTTCTTAATATCCATTTCATCTCAGTCTGCTCCTGACATACAGCACGAGCTCAAAAAGGTAGAAGAGGGCCCTCAAAGCCCTCGATAAGTCCTTCTTAACCTGGCCTTTAAGGTCTTCAACAACAGAGACGAGCAAAAGAAATTAGATAAAGTCCAACAAGATCGTGTTAAATACCAGCTCCTAGCAGCAGCTATGTGTCAGCCTACCCAGGCTGCCCAGGGGCACAGGAAACCCGATAGCAGTAACCCTCCTGGGCTGTCTTAAGTGCAGCAAAGAAGGCCATGGGGACTGAGCATTCCCTAACCCACTAGTGCCCAAAACTCCCTGCCCAGCCTGCCAACAAACTGGTCACTGGAAGTCTGATTGTCCTCTTAATAAGCAGACTAACAGGCTGGTTCCTCAAGACCCTGGAAAAGGAAAGAGTGAAAAGTTACTCACACTCCCGCAGCTCCTTGGCCTGGCCGCTGAAGACTGATGGAGCCCAGGGCCCCCGGCCCCATCTGCCATCACTGCCTCGGAGCCCAGGGTGACTCTGCTAATAGCAGGCAAGCCAATCTCTTTTTTAATGGATAGCGGCGCCACCTACTCGGCTTTACCTAAATTTTTAGGACCCACTTACCCTTCCCAGGTCTCTGTTGTAGGGTTGATGGACTTGTCTTGCGTCCACAGGCTACGAAATCCCTTACTTGTTCCCTATTTAATACTACTTTTTCAAACTCCTGCCTTATCATGCCTCATTGCCCCACCCCTATCCTAGGCCAAGATATTTTAGCCAAATTCAAAGCTTCTGTCACCTTTTCCTGCCCCCCTCAACCAGAGTCCCTCCTGCTCCTCTCTTCCAGTGTGGCCCCTGACACCCCTCCCCAGCACCCGCTACCGTCCTCTCTTGTGAACCCAGTAATGTGGGATACCACCACCCCTCTCATACCTGCTCAGCAAGACCCCATCAAAATCCAGATAGACGACCCCTCTAAATTTCCCAACATTCCCCAATACCCCATTTCCCTAACACACCGAAAGGGCCTCCCACCTGTTATAAACAAGCCCTACTCACACAGTCTTCTTAGACCAACACATTCTCCATATAACACCCCCATCCTTCCCGTTAAAAAATCTGACGGTTCATACCGACTCGTTCAGGACCTCCAAGCTATCAATCAGGCTGTCCTCCCTATTCATCCTGTAGTTCCTAACCCCTATACATTTCTCTCTCTCATCCCACCCACTTCACCACAATTAACCCGAAAGACGCTTTCTTCACCATTCCCCTACACCCCGATTTCCAAAACCTCTTTGCTTTCACCCAGACTGACCCCGACACCCTCCAGTCACAACCACTCATGTGGACTGTCCTCCCTCAGGGTTTCAGGGGTAGCTCCTCATTTCTTCAGGCAAGCCCTAGCCCAAAACCTCACCTCCTTAGATCTTTCCCCCAGCTGCCTTCTTCAATATGTAAATAACCTCTTCCTCTGGAGCCCCTCCCTAAAAAGCTCCCCAAACTCACACTGCCACCCTTCTCAATTTCCTCACTAATAAAGGCTATAGGGCCTCTCCCTACAAACAAACCAAAACCTCCTCCCACCTTTCCACCCCACCGTGACCTACTTAGGAGTAAAACTCTCCCCCAGGTCCTGAGCCATAATCCCAGCACAGGCAGCCTTAATTGACAGCCTATCTCCAACTTCCTCAAAAAAAAAAAAAAAAAAAAAAAAATCATGTCTTCCTAGGGCTAGCAGGATTTTTAAAAAACATGGATTCCCAACTTTGCCCTCCTAGTTCACCCCCTTTATAAAGCAGCCAAAGGCCCCCTCAATAAGTCCCTAAGCTCCTCACATAACATACTCCCCAACTTCCACAAACTCCAAACCGCTCTTATCACTGCACCGTCTCTGTCCTTACCTAATATCTCCCAACCTTTCACTCTCTATATTGCCAAAAACCAAATAATAGCCCTTGCTGTCTTAAGACAACAACAACAAAAATCCTCTTTCCTTTGCTCCTGTAGCCCACCTCTCTAAACAACTCAACAACAGAGTCAAAGGGTGGCCAACCTGTCTTACAGCACTAGCAGCAGTGGCTGTTTTAGCTGTAGAAAGCAGGAAACTAACATTCAGCCAAAATACCACCATCTACAGTCCTCATAATCTACAAGATGTCCTCTCCTACCAAGCATTAAGCTCTCTTCCTCCTTCCCAGATTCAAGGACTCCATGCCCTCTTTATCAAAAATCCCAAATTCTGCCTTACCAAAAGTGCTCCCCTCAACCCAGCATCCTTACTCCTCGTACCCTCTTCCCTTCCTACTCATTCTGACACTGACATCCTAGACCCCCTGCAGCCACACTTCCCAAACATTCCCTCCAATCCTCTCACCAACCCCAATGACCAGCTATTCATAGACGGCTCCTCTTCCAGGCCGACCGGCTCCCCTAAAATTGCTGGATACTCAATTGTTTCTCTTGACCAAGTAATTAAAGCCAGGCCCCTACCTCCAGCAATCTCCTCCGGAAAAGCAGAACTTGTAGCTCTCACCAAAGTCCTAACCCTTTCCAAAGGCAAACAAGTCAACATTTACACAAACTCCAAATATGCCTATCACATCCTTCATTCCCACACTGCCATCTGGCAAAAGAAAGGATTCTTTACTGCCAAAGGAACCCCCATCACTACTGGCCCCCTTATTTACCAACTCCTTCAGGGTGCGCACCTTCCAACCAAAGCAGGTGTTATACACTGTCAAGGACATCAAACAGGATCAGATAAAATCTCAAGAGGAGACAGAAAAGCTGATAAGGCAGCAAAAAAAAAAAAAAAAACAAAAAAAAACCACCTCCCTTTCTTATGCTCCCAGCTCTCTACTAAATAATCAAAAATCAAAAACTCATCCTCCCCCAGAAACAAACCAAAAAAAAAAAAAAAAAAATTCTAACATCCCTTCACCCATCTTTCCATATTGGTGTTCGGCCCCTGTACCTTCTCCTTCACCCACATTTCTCTTCCCCCCACCTGTTTACTTCACTAAGAAACACAACCTCAAACTGTCATATATGCTCTGTGACTTCCTCCCAAGAGGCCCTCTGCTCTCCATTTATTCCTATACACCAGTTAAGAGGAACCTTATTATCGTATTTCCAGGCACTCGCTACAGACTTACAGGCTTCCCTGAAAAAAAGAAAAAAAATTGCACACTCTATTACCCACCTCCAAAACCATCTAGATTCCCTAGCAGCAGTTACCCTACAAAACCACAAAGGCCTTGATTTACTTACTGCAGAAAAACGAGGTCTCTGCATCTTCCTAGTTGAGGAATGCAGCTTCTATTTCAATCAGTCAGGCCTGGTTCAAGATGCAGTCAAAAAAACTAAAAGATGGAGCCCCAAAAATAAAAAAACAGGTAGCTCCTCTGCCTGGCCCTCTTGGCCCCCTTGGTCTCTCAGCACCTGGGCCCCCCGACTGCTCCCTCTCCTTGGACCCGCTATAATCCTTTTATTTCTCCTAATCTTTGGGCCTTGCTTAATATGCCCTTTCACCCAGTTTTAACAGAATCGTATCTGAGCCTTTGCCCACAGAACCATACAGGACATGATGTTACTCCAGGAGTAGCAACAATTTCAAAACCAAAGCCAATCCCCACCTTCCAGCCTTTCCCCTGGCCACCGCCCTCTCTCAGCTTGAAGCAGTCTGATAGAATCATGCCCCTTTCCTATCATCTATTAAAAGGCTGGAGTGTTAGGGTCCACCCAACTGGATTGTTTCCCCCTCCCGTACACCTAAGCCCCAAAGGCCAAAAAATAAAACCCCGTACCCCAAACCTGCCTGTAACTGTTTGACCAGAGGCCAGCTGTCCCAGGATGCGGTTAAGACGTCTACCTTGCATAACAGAACTGGCAAGAAAAACATCTCCAGGAAGCAGTCAGACCCAGTTCTATGTCCTATAAAACCTTGCTATAACCTGTAAGCGGGGCTGCCTCCTCTGCTTTTGTCAAGGGGTAGCGTGGCAGGACTGATAATACATCAGCTTGCATGAACTTGGGTCTATTGGCTTCGTTCCTTTATTGGCTGTCCTTCCAATAATCCCTTACAAGCATCAGGTATGGCCAGAGAGGGAGTGGCATCGCGTTGGCTTTGGGACTGCCCCCAGGTGTACATGAGGATGGGAAACAAGTTGGCACTGAACTTGACACCAGGAGAATATTAAAGTCATGTTTGGTGCCAAGAAGGCTCTGTGTCAGGTGGCACTGAGACTGGGCTGCCACTGCTTGGGCAGAGTAAAAGGTGCCAGGAGGAGCATGGGTGTGGAAGTCTCGTCAGCCAAGAAATAAAAGTTTACCTCAGAGCTGCACACATCTGACTCCATCTGCAATTTAGGGCCTTTATTGACCAAGGAGGGTATGGAGGTTTGAGGGCCAGTGAGCCCACTACAGCGGAGCCTGACCTCAGCAGGCCACTACTGGAGCTGGAAGGCTGGGGGGACACTGCCCAGGCCAGTGAACTGCAGGTGAGGTTGATGGTGCCAGGGCTTACCACAGGGAGCAGGCGGAACCTCTGTAAGGTGGCTGTAAGGAATAGGAAGATCTTCAAGTGGGCTAGGCCTGCGCTCAGGCACATCTGCTTTCCCGGGTACATGGGTGCATAGTGAGCACTATGCACCCCAGAGCTGGTCCAGGCTGGTCCCCTTCCTCCCCTGCCCGCACCTGAGGCAAAGGGCATGAAAGGGTCATTGCCCTGGAACTTGCCCTTGTCCAGGAAGTTGGTAGCGTTGTCCAGGAAGTTGGTAGGGTTGAAGCATTCTGGGTCTTTGAATTGAGTGGGGTCAGTGTGCAGTCACAAGCAGGGGAATCACAAAGGTGCCCTGGGGGTACATGCAACTAGGTTTACCTGTGGGCTTGGTGAGCATGTGCACCTCCTCCATCCAAGGCCCTTTTTTAAAAGCCCAAGGGAATAGGCCGGGCAGGTAGCTCACGCCTGTAATCCCAGCACTCTGGGAGGCCGAGGAGCATGGATCACTTGAGGTCAAGAAGTTCGAGACCAGCCAGGCCAACATGGCGAAACCTGTCTCTGCTGAAAATACAAAAATTAGTCAGGTGTGGTGGCGGGTGCCTGTAATACCAGGTATTCAGGAGGCTGAGGCAGGAGAATTGCTTGAACCCAGGAAGCAGAGGTTGCAATGAGCCGAGATCATGCCACTGCACTCCAGCCTGAGCGACAGAGCCACACTCCATCTCAAAAATAAATAAATAAATAAATAAACAAATAAATAAAATAAAATAAAAGCTGAAGGGAAGGCGGGCCTACCATCCTGCTCCAGCGGTAACTGATTGTGCTTCAGTCTGCACAGCGCACACCTGCCGACTCTGGCTGATCTCGGAATACACCTCATGCACCTGGGCCCCGCACAGGATCCCCAGACTCAGTGGGCACCTTTGGCTAGACAATGGCCGTGCAGGTGGGTGTCAAGGGGGAGGGTGCACGGCAGCCCCAGCGGCACCACGCTGATGAAGCGCTGGATCTGGAGCAGCACTGCATTGGTGTAGGGCAGTCGCTCGGGGTCGTCCGGGCTTGGGGCGCGCCTCCACCCTACCACAGGGTCCAGCTCCTGCACCTTTGACTGGGGCCGGGGTAGGCTGTGAGCTGCGCACTTCCAGGACCCTCCAGCCATCCCCAGGCCGCAGCCTCCCATTCTGGGTCTCCGGCTTGCAGACCTGCCACCTCTGGGTACTTAAGCAGAATGAGGAACCCGTAGCACAGGGTGGTGCTCGTGGTTTCAGTGTCGCCAAAAAAAAAAAAGGTGCGTCATCATTACCGATGTCTCCTCCTGGAAATGGCTCTCCGGGTCTTGCTGTTGCTGTGGGCAGAGGAGACGCGCTGCCGCGTGCCAGGCACCTGTTGATGGGAGGCAAAGATAGAGTTTAGGGAGCTGGGAACCACGCCTTACCCATCTGGTCAAGCAATCGATGAAATCGCGGGGTTTCGCCGGCTGCCGCATCTGCCAGTGTTGTTGGATTTGCTCAGAGATGAAGACCCACAGCTCCGAAAAGTTTCGGAAGATTCGGCGGTGCCGGCTTGGGAGCTAGTCCATGAGGGACGGGCAAATGTACATCTGGAGAGACAGGGTCTCAACAGGGGCCCTGGACAAGGCCATTAGGTCTTAGTTTCCCTTCAGGGAGATTGGACCAGGACATTGATATTGGAGGTTCTAGAACTCTAGAACCTAACTCTAACTGTCCCATTCTAATGATCCACTGTAGGTAGGTCTGTGTACTCGGGATTTGGCATAAGGCTGGACGCACAAGGGAGAGACTGTGGCCGGCCCTCTCACCTCGCCCCATCTGGAGCTCATGATGCGGAAGTTGTCACTGAAGAGGTTCAGGAGCCTCAGGAACTCTGGGTCCCCGTAGCCATAGCGGTTCCCGAAGACAAGAACAGATAACATTGGATACAGCATTATCCAGTAGTCGCACGGGGTCAAACGGGGCTCCTGGGGGTAGGAACAGGACAGTGGTCATAACGAATGGTCCTGCCCCCAGCCAGCCCCATGGGTTTACTGGCTTCCTTCCACCCAAATACCTTCCCGTGGCCCCATCTTGGCAGTCCAAGGGCCACTCCCACACCAGGCCCTTCTGCCCTCCCGGCAAGGCCGCACCAATGGTGGCTTGCATTTTGTCTAGCAGACAAGACGCTGCCTCCAGGACATGCGCCTGGATGGTCCGTGTACCTAACCCCAACTCCTTCAGCGCTCCAAGTGCAAAATTGCGCAGTGTCCACCAGCGCGGCCCGTTAGAAAACGGGATTCCTGTGGTAGGGACAGGAAAGGAGGCGGGCCCGGGAGTCGGCCACGCCCCATCCAGGAAGCGCCAGGTCACTGGCTACATCCCATTCAGGGCCTCCGACTCCTGCGGCCGACTTCCTGCGCTTTGCTTCTTTACCGGACCTCTAAGTGCCCTATCCACACATTGGCCCCGCGTTTGCTGGGCTCGATTGCTGACCTAGGCTGGCTCTCGGGCTTTGACTCTTAGGCTCTTCTCTCCTCTTGGCTGCAGGATGAACCTCGATTCGAACCTTACGCTTTAGCGCCGCCGCGCCCTCCCTCGGCCGTTTGCACCTCATTAGCTGGGGTCTCTATTAGGCCCCGCCTCCATTTGCCCGCCTCTACCGTTTACGGGCCCAGCCTGAGGTGTGCAGGCCGGCACGGCCAGCGCCCGGGCCTCACCGTGTCCGCGTGTGAAGCGTTCGAAGACTGCCATGGACCCGCGGCCGGAGAAGGCATCCGCCTGTAGCACTAACGCGTCCCGCAGCGCTGCGTAGCCGCACAGCACTACGGCAGGGCGCGGGCCCAGCTGCACTGTGAACACCGGGCCCCAGCGGCCGGAGAGCTACAGGGAGCTGGTGCTCAGCTGGTGCCCATCGGGTTTCTCATCGGAGCCCTCGCCCCCAGCCCTCTCTTCCTTCAGACCCAGGAGTCCTCGTCTCGGGCCCTCATTCCTCAGGCCCAGGAGTTCAGATCCCCAGCTCCTTCCTCCCTGAGATCCAGGAGTCCAGGCCCCCACTTCCTTCTTCCCTTGGGACCTAGAAGTCCAG